TACGGCTTTGGTAGCTCCTCCGATTCCAAAAAACCCCCTTGAAAGTTGTAACAAACTATCGCTATTGAAATCCAAACGGTTTTTAGGGCAAAGTGACTTTTCACTAGTAGTAAGTACTGATCAATAGTTACGAGAATTTTTTGGATTTTAATTTGATCATGTCTAGAATAGAAAAGATGTATATATATATTATATATATATATATATATAATATGATCGGATAACCCAACTATTTGTCAAATTTTAACTAATCTTCGAAGTCTATTGATACCTACACACCCAAACACCTTACAAACCCAATGTTCTAAGGTAATTTGAACAAAAAAAGTCAATGAATAAAGCAAACTTTTTTAACCATCAGATAAACCCTTTGATGTTGTTTGTTAAGTCATACTACATAATGTAGTATGAAAAAAATTAAAGCCATTTAATTTGTGAGAAATTCATTTACCGCCTAAATATTATTTAATTAAATTAAGGATAATAATTTATTATAAAACTATTTTATGAATTAAAATATGTTAATTATGGTTATCATATTTATAATAATGTAATCGAATTTACTACACTTACATAACTCATATGATTTAAAGAGCATGACAATTTTAGAGGTGAAGTTATAAAATGCAATAAATTTGTTTAAAACTAATTGTTATTAATAAGCCATAAATAGTTAACTTGAAAATTATAGAATCCCGGATTGGACCAAGTTAATTGATTTTCAAATTGTTACTTATGATTTTAAGTGAAGCTATATATATATATATATATATATATAAAAGAATTACTAAATAAATCAAATATTACTATTATTAAATGTGCTTATATTGAGTCTTCTATGTTCGAGAGTTGATAGTTATTAGCTCTAGAAGCAATGAAGATTGATGGAAAAAAAAAAAAAAAAAAAAAGAGTATGAGTGTATTTAGAAAATATATTTGAAAGTTGAAACAATTTAATTTAAATATGATAGGTAAAACATGATACAAATAACATTGTATTTGAAACCAATAAGATCCGAAATGCAATAACAATAGATTTAAAACATTAAATAAGGGATTGAAACGTATAAATAAAACTTGTAAATATTAAATATTAATTGTTGACACATGATTTTGGACGCCAACGACTCGCACGTGCAAACTGCTTAAAGAGTCTTAGAAATTACATGTGATAGATCCATGAGATTTGAATATAGAGCTGAGATTATATATGTTGCAGAAAACATAAATAATAAGCTAACAAGAGAGGTTTTTATAATGGTTCGAATGCTTAAACAAATGACTCTTACATCCACTGTTATTTTATTGATCTCTGACTATTTTTATGATATTGCTCATAAGGTATATAAAGATGAAGAATTACAGTGTTTACAGAGAAAAAGAATTGAGCTCTTATCTATGTCTAGCTCTCATATACCCAACCTCCCCTTTTCGAGAAGAAAAATGTCAATTTATACACATTTGAACTCAATGTAATGAGTGTTTTGCAAGTTGTCTTGACACATAGAAGACTCTCGTCAATTCATCTCTTGAAATAAGATAGGGTTAATATGAATATCTTTGAGGCATATATGGGCTTGACAGCTAGTACAAAAAGATATTTATTGGACTGATATAAGCGTAAGTTTTTAGGCATAACATTAATATTTATTTAATATCTATACCTAGTACTTTGAAACCTTGGATAATATATATGAAACTCATAATACAGCTATTGAAACTTACAATAACGAGTTTTACGGGTTACAGCAACACACTTAAAACCTATAAATAGTTGAATAATATTTGAAACTTAAAATAATATATTGGAAACTCACAATATTATAAATGAAACTATAAACATTAAAAAAAATTAATACGATTTTGATATTAATACCATTATACTTGAAATTATTAACATCAAACTTAATATTCTTAATATTTAAATTTTACCCAATTAAATTAAAAATTATATTTTTCTATTTCTAAGAATTTAAATAAATTAACATATTTTTTTATTTTAAATATTTAGAAACCTGTTGTCTCGGGTCATTTTTAGAATTTGACATTGCCTAATTTACGTTAAAATTATCCAAAGTTGAATTATATCCATAGTAAGAGATTTGAAACTATTAACACCCAATTAGAAAACTTTAACATAGAATTAATGAATTATAACTCATTCTTATTTATTAAATATTTCGAATTAACTTTTAAGTAATAACCCGCAATTACCTTTCTTTGATGAAATAATATTGCCACATGGCAAGCTTTAATTAATGAGCAAAAGTTTAGGAATCGAATTGAATGGGCGTAAGGTAGCAATTCCCGTTATAAAATATTTTATACAATTACAAATTTATTTAACAATAACACTTTGTGTACTAACGCATTTTACTAACCAATGTACTAACTTTTATTAAAATCACATATAGTACTCATACTATACATATAATACTGTATTATACTTTAAGTTAGTACACTGGTTAGTAAAATCCGTTAGTACGCATAGCATTACCCTTTATTTAAACACAAACATGAATTTCCTTTTATACAAATTTATGTAATCAAATCTCAGTTATAAAATATTTTAGGGTAATGCTATGCGTACTCGCGAATTGTACTAACCATCTTATTAACCTTTGTTAAAATTACATATGGTACCCGTACTATGCATATGGTACACGTACTTTAGGTTAGTACACTGGTTAGTAAAATCCGTTAGTACGTAAAGTATTATTGAATATTTTATACAATTACAAATTTATCTTTAAAGTTAAACAAACTTAAACCACGTTTGGCGCTTACCTAAGTGGGATATATTTGAGGAAATCGTATTCAATTTTGTTATGCCTAAAAAATCAGGGTTGTTGTTAGCCTACGTTAGCAAATACCAATCAGAGTTTAGGAAGACTTTACACCATTTAGGAGTTGTTACGTCGTTCCATGATAGAAAGAGTATGACTATCACCAACTTGACAGATTAATGTTTTGTCTATGAGTGATTGAGAGCCGCGCACTTGTCCAAGCCTTAGATAATTTGAGGATATTTCCTAAGTTACCAGCCAATGAGAAGCAAGGAAGAACTTGCACGACACCTACCCATTTGTAGATTTGTGATCATTATCTTGAATTCCTCAACTATAAACAGAGGACTCCCATTCTCATTTTCGGGATTTTGATTATGAACCCTCATTCTGATTGTAATCTTTATTTTCAGAGCAAAGACGCCCTACGAGAAAGAGACTGGCTTGCTATTCTATCTGAATATTAAGTTATTATACCTCTGCTCGTTGTTTGCTATATGCGACCTCTTGTAATCTTTCATATGTAAAAGAAACAGTGGATGTAGAATTCGTTTAAAACATCCGAACCACTTTAAAAACTCTCTCTCATTTATTATTTGATCTTTGCATTCGATTATCCCAATTATTCACGTATAATTTATAAGAACAGTTTAGCATTTTGCACATACAAGTTGTTCATGTCAAAATCACGTATCAACAAATATCTACTTTGAAAGGTAGTAATATATATTTATGACAATTTGGTAGTTCAGGTAAATGCCTTACAATTTCACATGATGATTGTATTTGTGTCAGATGGCTGACATATGTTTTGTAATTGCCTTAAATTGTCATAGTCTTATACTCACCTGTCCGTCCCAATTAAACGACATTCAGATTCCCTCCCTCATGTAAATAGTAAAAATTAGTAATGGCATATACAGATGGTATCATATAAATCAGTAGTAATATTATATGATTCAATAGGATAATATAGCAATAATAGATGATAAGGATCTGGGCACTCATTGTTTAATTGTCTCAGCATTCAGCCAAAAATCGGAATAATAGATGATTTCTCTTGCTGGTAACATGGTGTTGCCGGCTCAGGTTTCCAATTTGTCAGTTTTAGAAATAAAATTCACCTAAAATATCTTCACAAAAATCGGAATAATAGATGTTTGTGTTTGGTGGGTTATTTGAAAATATTATTTTGAAAAACCATTTCGATAGGATAAGATTAAATCAAATATGATAAGATTATAAAAACGTGTTTGATATAATATCTGAAAATTATAATAGTTGTTTGATACATTTTTTGAAAATATTTATATTATTTTTAACCCACTGTATTTGTTAATTTAGCTAAACACCCCGTACAATAAAAGTTTATAGATTAACAAAAACACCACCACCACTGTCGATAGATGGCCATCATCGTTGGATAGTAGTCGACAGTCATCGAAATGACATCGGTCGTATACCAATCTAGCATTTTCTGGCCAAATCCACCATGGATCTAGTCGGAAACGGTTAAATCTACGATCATATCTCTAGTCGTAGATCTGGCCGAAAATATCGAGGTCGACACACGACATACCAAATCTAGCCAATTGTTTGTCGTTCTGGCGCTGACGACAACGGTAGTCGAGGCAATGGTCGACAGCCAGCGATGATTGCTGGTGGCCGACAATGTTTTGAATGAGTGAAAGTATTTTTATTAATTTACGAACTTTTATTATGAAATGTAATTGTTTTTAGTTGAAAAATATTAGAATAAGATAATAGAAAACAAGTTTCACCCATTTTTTATTTTCAAAAGAAAAATCTTATTTGATTTGAATTGATTTTTAAAATAATGGTCCCAACAAATAAACAAACATATATTATATTTTTTAATCCAAATAGAATAACAAAAAAAATGAGAAATATTATTATTTTAAGAAGAATGAGGAAACATTCTGAAGTTGTATATCCCAAACTTAAAACGTAAGCAACCAAAACTTTTAGGTATGCTTTGCAACCTTAAATGGTGCCCGACAAAATATAAGATAAAGAACCATACTATACTTACTCACCATCTTACTAACCATCTTACTATCCTTTGTAAATATAACGCATAGTACTGGTACTATACGCATAGTACGGGTACCATATAAAATTTTAACAAAGGTAGTAAGAGAGTTAGTACAAATCGTGAGTAAGCAAAGTGTTTTTCTAAGATAAAATGCAAGTTCTTTTACTTTGATTTACTGTTTAATATTATATTAATACATATATTACAATAATCATGTCACTGAAGGAGACAGGGCATCCTATGTCTTGTTCAAGTTTATTCTCAGATCATATGCTAAACGCATCTTCAGACTTTCAGGCAACTGTAGACAAAAACTCACTGAGACAGTTTTGTTTGGGCCAGAAATATGGATTCATGGCCCCCCAGAAAAGAATTTTAAAATCCACAACTCATCCACTGCTATGTTATACTGTTCTTGGTGGCACTTGCTCCCTTCCATAGTGGAGTTTCAAAAGCAAAACATATTATATTAAGGTGGAGCGACTTTCCCACTTCATTTATGGGTGCAGAGTGAAACATATAGCCATCCATCAGCATTCTGCTTGGCTGCTTGCTACTTGGTGGGATTTTAATAGCATAAACAATTTTAACTTGGAGCGACATAACCTCCCTTGAAACTGGCTGTTGTGTCATCTGTATGGAGCAAATCTCACAATTAGGTAACAGCAATTCGAGGAGAAAACAAGATAGTAAAATAAACTGCAATGCAGCATCATAGAAAGAACAAATTATATTAGCTCAATACCAACCCCAACGAAATTGAAGAGGTCTATTCTTTATGTGGCATCCAATCAAAAGAAATCCGTAAACATTAATTTCACTTTCAAACTGATGCGAACCCACCTACATTCTTTTACCCAACCACACCAAAAATGATAAACACGAGTATATTCAAACAATTCAAGGAAACATCAAGGTTCACAAGTCTACATAACTGTATTGAGATGTTGAACATTACATTCATTCAAGCCAATTATATCACAACACAAGAATAACAAGAAATTAATCAAAATAGCAACGGAATACTAATATGCTGGACTTCGAGGGTCAGCTACCTCCATGCTGGACTTCGAGGGCCAGCTACCTCCCCTTCACTATATTCACTTTTCAGATACCCCTCTCTCAATCTTCTGCTGCTCCTTTTATTCACTCCCTTCTCCTAACAGAATTCAACCATCCACCCTTCTCCTTTCGCCACCTGTCCAGTTCACTTTTTCTTCTCTTCACACTTTAGTTGCCTTTTTATCACAGATAATCCACTACTGCCCCTTCCTACTTTTCTTATTGTAGACCAGTCACTAAGGGTTTCATCACAAACAAAGCAAACAAATCTATTACATGATGAAGCATTTATGAAGCCATCTTAGAACTTGATCGGAACAAAGAGAAACCAGTGTGCACAATAGATAATCTAGTAGCATATATGTTTAGTTGATAATGTATGAACACTAGTTGAATCTTTTAAGTTGCCATTATGTCAGATGAAGGCTAATAATTAAAAGTATATAACATGGTCGCCACCTTTACATAGAAAAAAATGTCCAACTAGCCAATATAAAATTGTTATGAAGCATTAGTGATTCCTTCCTACAGCCTTCCACCACTGAAGTCCTTCTAACATGATTGGGTATTGACATTAATGCTACTTTTTTGAGATCAGTTATCATTTGAGCAACACATTATCTGAAACATAATGGAAGATCAAAGGGTCATATTGCAATTTATCTAAGGATTATAATTCTCAATCTATTTTTTCATTGGCTCTTTTCCACCCTCAGTGAAAATGTCACTCTGAGTTATAAATGACTATTTTCCCTTTCAGTTCATCTTAGACTGTATCTGCTCTACTCTAGTCATCTGCTTTGCTGGATGTTGTTTTTCAACAGACAAGAGAGAGTTCTTGAAAGAGTTTTGAGTCTTTTGGATGAACAAAGACATTTACATGGTAATAAATTTCATCCAATTTCTTTTAACTAACAATAAATTGCATTAAAAATTCTGAAAAATAAAAAAAATAAAAAGTAAAAAAACTCCACGAATCCCTAATAATTCTTGAGTTCTCCTGATACTGAAAGTGCATATACAGTCAAGAAAATCCAAATATATTATCATGAACGAATAAAGCATTGTGATTCATATATATTAAGTACCACATCTTGTACCTTTATAATAAAGAACTGGGTAGTCTCAGTCCTCTTCACATTTACTGAAAGATTTCCTTCACTATCCACAGATTTCATGATCATAAAACTCAAAAGAAGTAAACTGATTGCTTTGACTTAACCACAGCCATTCAAAAAATAAAAAACTTCAGAACTATGCTTATCTGCAAGAAGAATCAAAGTATAATGTTATAATTTATTTTTTGATAAGATATTCCAATATAATTATACTATCAATTTGGGCATGCATATGATTGTACTTTTTCAAAATACCATCAAAGAGATGGAAACTTCTAGTCTCAGTAATATAAAACCGTATAATATTTAGAAATACAAGTACTGTATACACATTACTTGAAGTGGTTTCTGCTGTTTGAATCTGCGAAGTCATCTCCAAGCACACATTGAAGCTTTGTGTAAGTATGCCCATCCACAAGGTCTTTGTCTTGCAACTCCTTCAGCAGTTTTATGGCTTCTCCATCCCTTCCTCTTCTGCAGATCTCATCTAAGACTGTCCTATATGTAATGAAATCAACAGACCTCTGCTTCTCAATCATCTCCCACAGATAATTCACTGCCTCCTCAACCTCCCCGTTAAGAGCCAATGCATTCACAAGTGAGTTATATGATCTACCGCTTGGAACAAACCCCTTTTTCTTCATCTCATCACACAACTCCTTAGCATTCTTTGTTCGACTTTGGGCACATAGCCCATAGATCAAATAATCATAGGAAAATGAGTTGGGCTCACAGTTATAAACCACATTGATCTGATGAAATATCCTAAGAGCATCATTAACATGATTTGAAAGCACATACCCTTTTATCATAGAATTCAATGAAAAAATATCAGGTTCAATCCCATCGTTGACCATTTGCTTGAACAAACACCTAATCGTCTCCATATACATATGATTTATATAGGAATTTTTTCCACTACTCAAAAATGCTGTGAATAGACTATTGTAGGTCCTTATTGAAGGCCTGCATTCCAAGTTCCTGCTATTCCTCATATGCTTAAATATATTTACAGCTCTAGTCAACTTCCTAGCTTCTGTGAAAAAATAAACTATTGTATTGTAAAGAGCTTCAGAACCAACATAAGGAACCGCAAGCACCTGATTAACTACATCATCCATTTCTTGGTACATTTTTGCTGCACCAAGCTTCTTTATCGTGATGTGATAAGTGAACACATCATGCCTAAACCTGGGCTGCTGCGATGCCCAATTGAATAGCTCCAAACACACTAAAGGATCCTCTTGAAGAGTTATAACGTTGCACAGATCTTCATTACTAAACCTCGGAGGGAGTTGAGAGACTGCCGATTGAAATTGAGCTTCATCAAGGGTACGCTTGTTGTTAGCTTTTGATCTCTTACTAATCCTTCTTCTCAAGGACCTGGTCGGCCCTTTAGTTGAGTAAAAACAACATAAACTAGCATTTGAAGACATTTTAGAATGTGGGTTAAACTGGGTTCGGCATAAACGTTGTACAGGCTTCAGTGTTTCGCTCGCGGGATTCCAAAAACAAGATATAACATGATATTGTATCCGTGAGGTAAAAGCTGGAAATGCATTATAACCGGACAAAATTTTAGAATAATGAAAATATTGTTGATGACATTGATTGATAGAACATAACTGTTTGTTAAAATTCCTATTAAAGCAAATATGTCTCAACCGATCTCTGCCAACAACAATCATCTTCAAATTGTCAACCAATTAATACAACACACAATCTGTAGCTGGTCACTCACAGATTTGAAAACTTAGCATCAATTGTCCATCTAAATTGCTGATTATACAGTGCCCTAGGGCTCGAAAGATATCAAAAAGGGAATAAGAAACTGTTTGTTAAGGAACTGATATGAACTCGCAAGTTAAAAATCAAACCTTTATCGGTGTAGTTTCACGATGAATGGCGCGAAATGAAGAGGCAGCTGCCTGGACATTGTGGATTTGCCAGGGTGAAAGTTAAACCAAATGTGAAACTTCAGAAATCGTCAAAATGAGGAGCAAGGGCATTAATGTAATTAGGCATTGTAAAGATCGAAGAATCAAACGTAGCCCTAGTTTGCTCACGTGACACTCTTCTATAAAACCCCAGCAAACCCTCTTTGTCTCTTCACTCTCTGCTCATTTTGCTGCGGCTAGGTTAAGCTACCATTCCATCTCTAGCCTTCAGAAGGTAAGCGATCTATTTTTGAGCTTCTTTTCCTTATATGTTTGATTGTTTGTTTGTTTTAGTTTCTGCATCTAGTTGATTAGTAATTTCTGTTCTTGAGTTTGTATGTTGAAACTTCGTATCTGTTTGGTTACCTGGAAAATCGGCAGTTACATGATTAATTTTATCTTTGTATTGGATTGAAATTTGGTTTCAGATTCGGTTATCCAGTTTGGAGATTTATATAAATAGGAAATAAATTGATCTAAAATTGTAAAACTGGGGATGTTCTTCGTGTGTTCAGCTCAGCGGCTCTGTTATAACAGAAAAATGACCTGATAATAGATTTTTCTATTCTTTCTTATTTTAGATGCTAGATCCATACGTTTTTAGTTTTCAGCAGACGTTTCGATCTTATTTTGCTGAAAATATGTATTCAAAATAATTTAGTTTAGTAAATCTTTTCCCCTGTTATGGTCTATGCTACTCAGTTGATGCAATCATGCAACTAGAGTCAGTTGTTGTGGGCTGCATTGTGTTTGTGGTTGTGCCTAGTATTCTAGTAATTCGTCTTTTTATTATGTTTAAAGTTTCTTCTAAATAAAGGAAAGCAAGAAATTGTCTTAAAGCTCAATCAATCTGAGACAGTGCAAAAGCTTACACTAGACTGGTATCATTTTGAAAATATATATTTGTTTTATGTTTTAATGTCATCTCCATTTTTAAATAAAAAATATTCTTCATTTTTTATATTATACTGTTGCACATATTCCTGCATATGCTTTTGCTTTTCTATTTTTCCCTTGGTGAAGGTTCTCATGAGTATTTTCCTGTCTTAAAACTCTGCAGTTCCAATTTAGTAATCTGCCATGGGTAAGGAGAAGGTTCACATCAACATTGTGGTCATTGGCCATGTTGACTCCGGAAAGTCAACCACCACTGGTCACTTGATCTACAAGCTTGGAGGTATTGACAAGCGTGTGATTGAGAGGTTCGAGAAGGAGGCTGCTGAAATGAACAAGAGGTCATTCAAGTATGCCTGGGTGCTTGACAAACTCAAGGCCGAGCGTGAGCGTGGTATCACCATTGATATTGCCTTGTGGAAGTTTGAGACGACCAGGTACTACTGCACTGTCATTGATGCTCCCGGACATCGTGACTTTATCAAGAACATGATCACTGGTACCTCACAGGCTGACTGCGCAGTTCTTATCATCGACTCCACCACTGGTGGTTTCGAAGCTGGTATTTCCAAGGACGGACAGACTCGTGAGCATGCCTTGCTTGCTTTTACCCTTGGTGTCAAGCAGATGATTTGCTGTTGTAACAAGGTTAGGTTTACATAAGTTTAATTACTGTGGTTGTAAGCTGTATGGTGCTTAATTGATTTTGCTTTTTAAATCTTAGTCTGGGATCGGAACTTATGTGGATTTTGTGCAATTCATTTTAGATGGATGCCACTACCCCCAAGTACTCCAAGGCCAGGTACGATGAAATCGTGAAGGAAGTCTCTTCCTACCTGAAGAAGGTCGGGTACAACCCTGACAAGATCCCCTTCGTNGTCAGCTTTACATAAGTTTAATTACTGTGGTTGTAAGCTGTATGGTGCTTAATTGATTTTGCTTTTTAAATCTTAGTCTGGGATTGGAACTTATGTTGATTTTGTGCAATTCATTTTAGATGGATGCCACTACCCCCAAGTACTCCAAGGCCAGGTACGATGAAATCGTGAAGGAAGTCTCTTCCTACCTGAAGAAGGTCGGGTACAACCCTGACAAGATCCCCTTTGTCCCCATCTCTGGTTTTGAGGGTGATAACATGATTGAGAGGTCTACCAACCTCGACTGGTACAAGGGTCCAACCCTCCTCGAGGCTCTTGATCAAATCAACGAGCCCAAGAGGCCCTCAGACAAGCCCCTGCGTCTTCCACTTCAGGATGTGTACAAGATTGGTGGTATTGGAACTGTCCCAGTGGGTCGTGTGGAAACCGGTGTCCTCAAGCCTGGTATGGTTGTTACATTTGGCCCCACTGGACTGACCACTGAAGTTAAGTCCGTTGAGATGCACCATGAAGCTCTCCAGGAGGCTCTTCCTGGTGACAATGTGGGTTTCAACGTTAAGAACGTTGCTGTGAAGGATCTGAAGCGTGGTTTTGTTGCATCTAACTCCAAGGATGATCCTGCCAAGGAGGCTGCTAACTTCACCTCTCAGGTCATCATCATGAACCACCCTGGCCAGATTGGTAACGGATATGCTCCAGTGCTCGACTGCCACACCTCCCACATTGCTGTCAAGTTCTCTGAGATCTTGACCAAGATTGACAGACGATCTGGTAAGGAGCTTGAGAAGGAGCCCAAGTTCTTGAAGAATGGTGATGCTGGTATGATTAAGATGATTCCCACCAAGCCTATGGTTGTTGAGACTTTCTCAGAGTATCCACCACTTGGTCGTTTTGCTGTTAGGGACATGAGGCAGACTGTGGCTGTTGGTGTCATCAAGAATGTTGAGAAGAAGGACCCATCAGGTGCTAAGGTCACCAAGTCTGCAGCCAAGAAGAAGTGAACTGGGTTGGCCCATGTTACTCCTTCCGCAGATAGAGTCAATTTTAATTATAGAAATTACAAAAACTTGGTTTTTTTTGGTACTTTCTTAATTCGTTGTTTGGTTGGTTTTGTACTTTATAGTGTGTTGCCTTCAATTTTGAGTAGCCTCTGCCAGAATTGGGTGCTTGACAGGCGGTGGCACATCTACACTACAGAGTCTCCGTTTTTATACTTTGTATGTTATTCTTGTATTGTCATGGATTGAGGTGGTTTGGTTCACTGAATCAGCTCAGAAGTTTTGTGTTTCTGCGGAATTAATATCTTGTTCTTATTTTCAAATACTTCGACTATTTATGGTTTTGTTTGGTGTTTCTTTATAATCTAGTTTTGTTTGGTGCTTCTATAAGCTAGTTTTGTTATTGATGGGGAGGAATGTGTTTTTATATGCCAAGCATAGGGGAACAATACACAGACACAGGTTAATCTTAAATCTTTTCTAGAGCTCCATCAATAAATTTTTAACATGTCCTGGTTACTGGGCTTTTTATTTTTTATTTTTTTCAAGTTCTATTCATATCAAAGAATGTAACCCTTTCGTGAGTATCTTTTTCAACGAACTCGTTCGGTCTCAAACAGATGTTATTGAAAGATTAAAACTGAGTGACACCTGATTCATTTCTAAGCCAAACTTCAGAGAGTAGGAATAAGAACACTTTATGCTTGTTTTGCCTTTACCATTTATCAGCTTTATGTCATAATTTCCAGTATTTACTATTTAGTACAAATATATTGTCATTTTTTTTTTTTTTTTGGGATAATAGGGGTGTCCGAACCAGTTTAAGCATACCTCAATTCATTCTTTGGAACTCTAAAACTATCGGTCGGATATGAATTTCAATAACTATCCTTATTAATACTCGAAAAAAGACTTAAACTCATGACCTTTTGACTAATACATTCGAAAGCCTTTTTGCCATCTTTTTTATCACTCCAGTCCTGCACATATTCTGCCATACTCAAAATTTGAAAATTTCAGAATTCTTGACTTTTATATTATTGCATGAGTTTAAAATGTACTTAATTGATTTTCCCCCCCTAAATTATCCTCTTTTATCATTATTAATTAATGTCTCAAACTTAAAAGTGAATATTTTATTCCTATTATTTGATTTTTAATATATTTTTGGCACTAATTAAAAAATTAAACTATTTTATTTTTTTAATAAGTTAAATATAAAATTTATCATTTATCAAAAAATTGATTCATTATTATTATGAGTGAATGTGTTTTCTACATTTTCATTGCAAATATTTTTCTTAGAGAACAATAATAAGGGAAAGTAATTTAAATTTATTTTTAAAAATAACACCAAAAAAAAAAAAATTTTATGCCACATGTTGATTTATTGTTTAATTGCCACTTGCATCCCAACTAGATTCATTAAATTCTAACATAAATCAGTTAAGAAGCTGAGCCAAACACTCCATTTGTGCAAAGCGACGTCAAAGTTGGAAACTAGGACCTGACGACGTGGTTCAACGTCATACACAAAACACTGTTTTCTCGCGAGCTCCCGCCACCCGGCCACCCCATCTTCAATCTTCAATAGTCCAAGACAACTTCAATCTCCATTCTCCGCCGCTCCGCCTCTGCCTCCGCCTCCCCCACCTTCAGTCTTCAATACCTGGGCTGTTCAAGACGCTTCAAAACAACTTCAGTCTTCAATCTCCGCCGCTGGCCTCTAACTTGGCTCTTTCCTGAAGGTAAATTTCTTTTTTGTCATCTATATTTTTGTTTAGTCTGGATTAAAATTATGTGAATTATTGCGCTTGCCATTATGCATCGTTTTTGTTATCTTAGAGATGTTGTAGAACCTACTGGTAAAGTCTCGGTACTGGTCATTAATCTAATGTGATTATATGCTGAATTGCTGACAATGCACATGATTTACTGATTAAGGAACTTGTTGCAAGCTAAAGATTCTGTTGTCACTGGATTAACTAAAGGATGATTCTTCCAGTTTTAAGATAATAAGGAATATATTTTAAAGAACTTGTGTGCAACATACCAAGGTACTAAAAATGATTAAATCTTGAGCTCTTGTTATCGGTTGCGCCAGTCAGTACAAATTGCTGGTTGTTTGGTCCCAAATTGATTAATGATTTTCTGTACTGTACTTTAATGTATCCTTTCTACAAATAAGAAAGAATGCCATGCAAAAAGTCTCTCCTCTGGATTGCCTCTGTTATGTTAGGCTTCCTGTTAGTAATATGCTATTGCTTGATTGGTCTCTATTATTCTTATTCAGATAGGAAGCAGATTTTAAGCTTGTTTGATGCTTAGATTTTGTGATTTCTATTAATTTCTACTATAGGAATCTGAGGAAATTCTTGCCAGTTGCCTCATCCAGAAAGATGATGTAAACTGTAAAGAAACTGAGTATGGTAGGCTGGCTAGCTCCCATAAAAAGTATGAGTCTCTTCTTCATTGTTTCTAAGGACTAGACATTATTGACCTATAGTGTTTGCCTTACCAAGGAAAATGATTTACTACTCATAAATTACTAGTGATTTAGTCATACTGAATGCTGTTTCCACTGTTTTGAATGTTTTTTGAATGTGCTGAATGATGTTGTATTCCGCACATTATGATACAATGTACAGCTGCATTTTGAATGCTGTTTCCACTGTTTCTGTTTGTTTCCACTCTTTTGAATGCTGTTGGAATGTGCTGAATGCTGTTTTGAATGATGTTGTATTCTGCTCATTATGATACAATGTGCAGCTGCATTTTGAATGCTGTTTCCACTGTTCTGACTTCTGACCAATATTCATCTTTTTCATGCAAAGGAATTTTTTAATTTTCCAATAGAGATGTCATCCACTCCCACTCCACCAGAGGTTACGTCTTCACAAAATCAACGTATGGAAGGCTCAGTTGCAAGCCGAACAATGTTGGATGACTTGGATCATAGAAGTTCACCTCATGGAACTAAAAAAAGCACTGAGGCCACAACTTCTGGTGATGCAATTGCAAATGCAACTGATGGTACCAGCAAGCATAATGAAGAGGGTGATGTTAATCCATTTCAAAGGAAAAAAAGACCAAAGACATCTGCAGTTTGAAATGAATTCACTATATCCATATTTGTTTCACGACAAAAACATATCAACTCAATGGAGTATTTTTTTTTTTAATTAAAAGATTATTTACTTTCGTGCGGAAACTTAATTGGATTATGTTTTTATATAACTAAAACAAATTTTAACTATGATCTTTTCTGAAATTTATGGGTTCTAAAAAATAAAAACTCAATAAAATTTAAAATTTAAAACTTATTAAAAAAATCATACTAAGATATAACTGTTAGTATTTGAAGATATATATAATCAACATAAAAAATTCATAGTAATTTTGTTGTGTGTGGTTTTTCCTCTAAGCTCGCGCCAACTCGAGGATATAGCTCGATCTAGAATGAGCTTGACAACTACAATTGATCGATCCAGCATAAGCTCGTCGAGCTATAGTTCAACCCAGCATAAGTTAGTCGCGAACAATTCAAGGAATCATTCAATCAATCTCCAGATTACTTCAGATCTCAGATATTGCGAGAATGATTGGATCAACGGTAATCATTGCGTAATTACAGCGCCAAGTCGCGAGGATATTGGAATTATGATTCAAATCAGTTCTAATCCCTTGAATTTCATTGCTTCCTTTGCACAAATCTTGTATATAAACCCCCCTTAGACATTGAGGAGGGGGTCATGAATTTCAGATAAGAATTGCATTGTAAGCTCTCACAACAAATACAAAAATACAATGGATGTAGGCTGTTAACCTAGCCGAACCACTTTAAAAATCTCTTTGTTTTTAGTTCATTTCATTCATATTCATTGCTAATTATCACTAATCACGCACACATAGGTTCTGATCTCAGCAAGGTCGATCAGATCTCGTTGGTTGGTACAAAATTATGTACCAACATTTTAGCAATAGAAGGAGCGCCCACCAAAATTTCAAAGATTCCGGTAAATGTTCACTGCAATTCACCTGTTCTAGGGCCAAAATGGTGTACACTAGATCGAAAACTACCCTCCAGAAATCACGAGAATGTGGAAACCACCCACGAGGAGGTGCAATAGGAGAACACTGGACGCCGACCACCTGTGTCGCCAACTCAGCATACCGCGAACAACCAAGAGGCATGGACATCAGCCCCCGAGAACGGCCAGCTGATGGAGATGATCAGGACAATGGTTGCACAGGCGGTGCAACATAACGTGGCTGAGCTGAGGAACAAACAACCAATTGCCTAGAACCATGACCAGTTACGTTTCGCCAATGCAATCCCAACAGGTATGAATTCTTGCTGGTGGACAGTCTGTTTTGTCACCCCCAAGGGGCGATCAACACCTCCAATCTCGCAACAACACTCCACACAAGAGCGTGAGTCTCGCGGGCAAACAAACCCCGGGAGGCGGTTGGGGAAGTATCCGCTGAGGGAAAGCGAAGGCGACGGGCACCACCGAGAAGCTCGGCAGTACCCCCAGCGTCAGTATGCCAGTTTTAACCCACGCCCAAGGCAAGATCGATCTTCACAAGCTCGTGAAGCGAGTCATGTGTGTCAATCTACAATGACCGACGTTGCCAGCAACACATTGACGAGCATGATAGCACATATCAACCCAACCATCATGACTTGACCTCGCACATCAATGCGCACGCCGGAGGAGCTTCGCAAGCAATAGACTTGCAGACTCATTTGCTCGAGGTAAGACTTAACATAGCCAGCCAAGGCAACCAAAATGAAGACTTGGATCGCATGTAGAGGATGCTTGACAATCTAAGAGCTTGCCAGAACAACCTGGCGGAGGAAGTAATAAGTTCCTCCCTTACGGAGGAAGTTTGTTAGGCCCCGCTCCCATAAGGGTTCAGGGTGTCGGAAAGCAAGTTCGATAGGAAAGGGGACCCTAGAGACCACCTCGACAACTTCAATGACTTGATGGAGCTACACCAGGTCAATGACTTAGCGAAATGTCGGTGCTTCGCAGTCACATTAGTCAGAGATGGAAAAGCTCGCCTATGCCCTTGTTGTCGCCGCTAGGAAGCTGCGACCCTATTTTCAGGCACACTTCATCTATGTGCTCACAAACTACTCCTTGAAGAAGATAATGCAAAAGCACGATGTAACGCCCACTTTGAGGTATGTCATTTATATATGCTTATTGACCCTTAATGTTGTTCGTTTGTCCTTGGTTAAGTTTGTATATTGTAAATAATGCTTGATTGCCCTGAATTTGGTGAAGGAGTGGCAAAATTAGAGAATTACAGACTTCGCCGGGGTGAAGAATAAGCC